GAGAGTAGGCGAAAGAGGGGGGGGGGCTGGCCGTGCTGGCGGCAACAGCGACCCCTCCGCCGGCTCCCGGAGGCATCCCCGCCGGATGAGGGGGCATCCCCGGGCTGGTGGAGGGACACCCCCCCTGGGTAAGGGGACCCCCGGGCATCCTCGGCGGCGCAGGTCCTTGGGGGTAGCCATAGGAGTGCAGGTGTGTGTCCCCCCCCGGCTCGGGGAGGGTCCCTGAGGTATCCCTGGGGACTGGGGTCCCCTCCTGTGTCCCCCTGCCATCCCCTGTATTATTGGGGTATCGCTGTGGGAGAGGGTCACCCCGGGGCATCCCGGTGGGTGGGGGTCCCTGGGACACCCCTGAGGGTAAGGGTCCACCAGGACAGGTCTGGGGAAGCGGGTCCCCAGGGCACCCTCAGCAGCACAATTCCCCCAGGAGTTCCTGTATGAGCAGGTCCCCCAGGGCAGTCTCTGGGGTGAGGGGTACCCCGTGGGTAAGGCTCCCTGGGGCACCCCAATTTGGCCTCCAGGGCTCCACTGTAAGTGCAGGGCACCCTCCGAGGCGGAGGTCCCTCACGTACCCCATGGGTGGGAGGTCCCGGGGCCCCTTTTGGTGAGGATCCCCTGAGGCACCCCCATGGCTGGGGGGTCTGCGGCGCTGCCCAGGGCCAGCTCCAGCTGCCTGCCAAGCTGTGGGGGCGAGCAGAGCCACCCCCCCTGGGTAAGGGGACCCCCGGGCATCCTCGGCGGCGCAGGTCCTTGGGGGTAGCCATAGGAGTGCAGGTGTGTGTCCCCCCCCGGCTCGGGGAGGGTCCCTGAGGTATCCCTGGGGACTGGGGTCCCCTCCTGTGTCCCCCTGCCATCCCCTGTATTATTGGGGTATCGCTGTGGGAGAGGGTCACCCCGGGGCATCCCGGTGGGTGGGGGTCCCTGGGACACCCCTGAGGGTAAGGGTCCACCAGGACAGGTCTGGGGAAGCGGGTCCCCAGGGCACCCTCAGCAGCACAATTCCCCCAGGAGTTCCTGTATGAGCAGGTCCCCCAGGGCAGTCTCTGGGGTGAGGGGTACCCCGTGGGTAAGGCTCCCTGGGGCACCCCAATTTGGCCTCCAGGGCTCCACTGTAAGTGCAGGGCACCCTCCGAGGCGGAGGTCCCTCACGTACCCCATGGGTGGGAGGTCCCGGGGCCCCTTTTGGTAAGGATCCCCCGGGGCACCCTCATGGCTGGGGGGTCTGCGGCGCTGCCCAGGGCCAGCTCCAGCTGCCTGCCAAGCTGTCGGGGCGAGCGGAGCACCTCGCACTGCCTCTCCGGGGGGAAGCCATCAGCAAAGAGTCTGCTCCCACCCACCGGCCGCGTCTCTCATACGTTAACAACCCGGCCCCAAACCCACTGCCAGCATCCGAAGGCTGGGTTTGAAAAATGCTCCTCTCTGCCTTCCCTCCCTCCCGTGCAGCGTGGCCAGCCACGGCCTCGCAGCAGCAAACGGAGCTCTGTCGCCCCACACAGAGCCCCCCCACACCCGGGATTTGGGTTTTAATGCCAGGCAGCAGCACCCCACGGCAACGGCTGCTTTTCTCCGGGGACAAACCTCAGCCTGGGGGAGGTACAGAGCCCACCACACACCTCAGGCAGCTTCTGCCTGAAATAAACACACATGGGGTTTATGGTGGCACCACTCAACACCCTCCCCCCACCCAACACCCAGCCCCCTGCCCTCCCTGGGGGGCTTCCCCAAGGACCGGGCAACCTCTGGGACATGGGGTGGGATTGCACCCCCCGTTCTGCCCTCACCCAGCCACGCGTCCGGCGTAAGAAAATCAGGATTGCACATCAAACCCAGGCTTTTATTGCAGAAATGGCTCCATCATGTGTGTGGTGTGAGAGTGCTGTGAATCGGGTGGGTGCCTCTGGCCATGGCTGGTTGAGCCCCTCCTGCAGCTCTGCCCATCAACAGCTGATGACCATGGCAAGGGTGGGGTGTGGATGGAATAAGGGACCCCAGGAAGGTGAGGGGGACACAGTGCCCTGGCCCCACACCACAGCACAGCCTCTGCACCGGGGCAAGGTCCCCGGGCACTCCTGCCCCTCTGAGGCTGAATCACAGCCATGGCTGCTCTGTTTTCCAGGCTCTGGCTTTTGGCCTGATCCCGCATGTTGCAGGAGGGCAGGATGAGATGTCACAGGTCCCATCCCACAGCCCCGGGCACGAGGCATGGACGGAGGGCAGCCTGGAGCTGCCTTTCTGTACAGGCTGAGGAGCAACACGTGCCCAGAGCTAACGGGAAGGCTGCTCTCCCCACGGGCCTCGCAGCATCGTTAGCGGAGCTGTGATTCAGCCCTGCTGCATGATTGCACATGCCCCTGCACGGGATGTCAGGCCCTGACCAACAAGTGCTGCACTCATTAACGAAGATCATTATTTTTCCTCCGAGCAGTGGTGAATTGCATAATGCCAGGCTCCCCGTGGGCTGCCCTCGTGGAGCCGCAGCAGGGGAGCGAGGGATGGAGGCAGCCTGTCCCCAGCCTCAGCATCCTTGGGGAGACAGCCCCCACGATGACATAAGGATGGTGCAAATGATGTGCCCCCAAATCTGCTCAGGGCTGAGCACAACATAAAAACACTTTACTGGAGAGCAGCCCCCTTCAGAGCAGCCCTTCTCCCAGGATCTGGCTGGTGTCATCACCCACCACCCCCTCACTGGAGCTGGGGACACAGCCCTGCACTCCCAGCCTGGCTCTGGCTTGTCCCCACTCCCGTCCAGATGCCCTCAGGTCACACACCCAATGGTGGATGTGAACCTCACCACAGTAGGGTGTGCAGCCATCAGCACATGTGCATCCCAGGACAGGCATGTTGGATCTCAGCACCTTCGCAGCACAGAGAGCTGGCAACAGGCTTTGGAGACAGGCAAAGGCTGAGCCAGCCCCGTTCTGGGACCACTGCCTGGGGGACAACTGCTCAAAGGCAGGAACAGGTTTGGGGTGGAAGTAGGAGGGATATTAACAGACCTCAAAACATCTCCTGGGGCTGGAGGCAACGCAGGCAGCCAGGTTTAGAGCTGAGCCAATGGTGCCCTGGGCCAGGCGCCTGGTTCTGCCCTTACTGTGCCCTTGGCACAGCCATGGAGATGTGCTGGAGGACACAGAGCCCTCCATGGCCAGGGCTGTGCCAACCAGTCTCATTGATGGTCTGTTGTAGTGGCCGGTCTTGAACTAGCTGCTCCCAGGAGAATTATTCAATAAATTTGAATTAAATGAATGCGGGCAGCTTTCTGAAGCCTCAGAAAGAAAAGCAATGAGCTTAACCAGCCCCCTGGGCCCTCGGGAGGTCTGGCTGGCAGCCAGCCGGAGCCAGGATCCGGCGCATCCCTGAGCAATGCAGGGGGAGATGTCTGCTCAGCCGTGTCTGCACCACTGGAGACAGGGCTTGGGCAAGGCAAGAGTCCCCTTGGCCCTCCCAGGGGCCACCAGGGCCTGGAAGAGGGGACGCAGGTGAGGTGGCCAGAGGGAACATCTCCCCAGTGCACCGCACAGGGTCCCTGGTGGGTGCTGGCTGCTGGCACAGGGACACCGACCTTGCAGATCCCAGCCACCACCTCACAGGGCTTGCACTGGAGTCAATGCCACCATGCTCGGTGTAGGCAAGGGCAGAAGCACCCTAGGGGTTCAGGGGGATAGATCCAAAAAAATATGTGTCCTGAGTGTAAAGGGCAGGGCCCAGGTGAGCACTGGGAAGCAGCAGCAGGTCTTCACACCTCAACACCTTTCTGGACTGGGCTCTGCAGCATCTGCTCCTTCTCCTTTGGCTCTCAGTGGCAGCACTGGCTTCACTCCAGGCCTTCGATGAGGCCATCAGATGCATTTTGGGTTAAGATGCTAAAAACCTTGTAGCAAAAGGCTACAAAGCAGAGAGCCCCGGAGAGTGGCAGGAGGCAGAGCCTGAGCCCTCAGCCTCCTAGGGTGCAACAGGACCCAGTGAACCCACACACTGGCCCAAACTGTATTGGCCAAAGCCAAGAAACCCCCATAAACTGACGATCCTATAATGTCTTAGGGGAAAAAAAAAAAAGATTTAGGAATTGTCATATTGCGCAGCCAGCATTAGCATCCTCCTTGTTCAAACCTTTGAATCTGATATTAAGCACTTTATATCTATACACACACTATTTGAATGGCAAATATTCTGATAGAGTTATTTTTAAACACCTCCATGCATCGTTTAGTGTAAGTGCCATGCTTTCCCCTCCCCATTGCTGCTTGCACTGGTGGGGATTTTGCTGTCAGGGAGGGTCCTGGGTAGGAACAAGGATGGGGACATGCAGCCAAGAGCACAGCAAGCATCCCAGGGGAGGCTATGGGAGCAGAAGGGACAGTGTGGGTGGCCTGCCATGCTCACACCTGGGGGAATCACTCTGCTTTCCAGCTGTGGCACATCTGCTTGCAGAGCTGCTTGACATGATGTTGCATCAAGGACAGTCTGCGGCAACCATAGCAACGGGCTGCTTTGGTTTTCCACCTTTCCCAGCAGAAGCGATCCTGATTTCTCCCAATTTTGCTGCTGCCTGAGAGACGCCAGCAAAAACCTCTGGCCAGGCAGGAGAGAGGGGTCGATCTGCCCCTGAGGAAGGTACCCAGGTTAGAGCTCTGCTGTCCCATGTCAG